CTTTCGTAGAGATACTGCCTCAGAAACCCAAGGAGGGGTCACTATGAGTTGAATCAACTCAGTGGCAGTGAGAATGGCTAATGATGGCGAGTATTTCCTTTTGTTTGTTGGCCACCAGTATTTCTTCTTTAATGACGTGTCTGTGCATTCCCTTTGCCCATTTTTAAGTTGGGTTGTTTGTCTTTTTGGTGTTGAGGTGTTGAAGTTTTCTATAAATTTTGTAACTCCCTTGTCAGATACACCATAGTCAAATGTTTTTTCCCAATCCGTAGGTTCTCTTTTTACCCTTTTGGAAAAGTCTTTGATGTGCCTAAGAGTTTAATTTTTAAAAGGTCCTAGTCACCTAGTTTCTTTTCTGCTGCCTGTGCATTTGGGGTTATGCTTGTTAGTCTATTTATGCCGTAACAGGTTAGGACCCTTAGATTTGCACCTGTTCTATCTTTGATGAGCTTTGTTTATAGTTTGGGGTTTACATTGAGTCTTTGACGTTGGATCCTTTTTAACCTGCAGCTCTGGGCATTGATTCAGTGAGATGCCCCTAAACGTGCTGTCTCCTTTGAGCCATACCTGAGCTATAGGTCAGAACCGTGTTCTTCTGTCTTCTGGGGGAAAACACAGTTGTTCCTCTGCTAGAAAGGGCCCAGACTATTGCACTGCACTCCCTATCCCCAAAAGCTGACACTCCAGAGTCAGTGAGACCTTGTGGTTATAGGGTTCCAGAGTTCAGGATTCTTCTACAGTGAAGAATGATTTGCATGTGCATTAGCCCAAATGCCATATCCTAGCAGCTTCTCTATGAACAAGCACTGGGTTATAAACTCTTGGTTGTGAGTTATCTTGGTTGTCTGACTTTTAAGTAGTTTGTTTTTCCTTTTACTAGTACCTGTAGTCCCTTTTATTATGTCTGAGCCTTGGTTTTTGTTGCCAAATAACTGACATTCTGGGATGGTTCTGTTGATAACAGATGGGTTATAGGCATGTTGAGCTGTTACTTGTTTTAGAGGGAGGAGAGGAGTGTGTTTGACCTTTCTGAACCTAACAGTAAAATTGAGTCCTCTTTTTTGAAACTAATTCCTTGGCTCTTGCTAGTGCATAAGCTCCTCTGACGGAGACCCTGTGGTTTATTCGCCATGTGTTTTGGGGTATTGATTGTGCTCTTTCAGAATCCTTAATTGCTAAAAGGAAGCTGTTCCGATGCATTTTGTAACGTTAGAATCAGTATTTGTATTAGGAAGTTTGGTTTGTTCTGCTTTCCATCAGAAGTAGAATCCATATGGATTATTGGGAGTTCATTTTAAAG